ATCCTCCTCCTTTTTTTCCCCAAAGCCCCAGTAGATAGTTGTATGTCATAGTTGCACATCCTTCTAGTTGCTGTATGTGGGATGCAGCCTCAGCATGGCCAGAGAAGCGGTGCGTCGGTGCGCGCCTGGGTTCCAAACCTGGGCCGCCAGAAGCAGAGCACGCACACTTAACCACTAAGCCACGGGGCCAGCCCAATCCAATGTATCTAAAATATTATCATTTCAACATGTAATCAATATAAAATATATAATAGGATATTTTACATTTCTTTTTACTTGCTAAGTCTTCAAAATCCAGTACATATTTTACATATACACCCCATCTCAATTTGGACTAGCACATTTCAAGTGTTTATTAATGGCCACATGTGGCTAGTGGCTACCATATTGGACAGCACAGTCTTAAATCAGGGAATCCTGAGGATGAAAAAGGCCTTACAGAAAAAAATGAAAAAGAAAAATGCCAAGAGTTTGGCATTTATGCAGCATACTTTTAACCAAAGAAGGATACAAACTAAGAAAAAAGACAATTAGGCAGGATTCAGATGTCTAATGCTATTCCTCAACTAATTCAGGACTTGTCTATCAACTACCAACAATGTGTCTGGCCCTACACTTGCTGGGAACAAATGAGACCCCATTCAAGCACTGACTGCTTTCTCAGATCACTGGAGAAGACAAGTCTCTAAAAGAAATAACTAAAACATATGATATGTTACCAAAAAGGTACATATAAAATATGACTGGAGCAAAGATAAGAGAACATGCTTACAGTTCCTACATTATGCAGAAAGAGTAAAAAGTATCCCATTCTCTGCTCTACCTTTCACTTAGTGTCAAAACTGGAGTGAGATATACATTTGCTCCTTGTAGCTCAGGTCTCCTTTTGAAATCACAAAATGATTATTTCCAACAGCCTTATCATAAAAATGACTATTTTTATAAGAGTTAAGCAATAATTCGGTAAAACAGTGCTTTCTTTGGCTAAAATATCCATTTAAATTAGACGTGGGGTCCAAAAACATTTCTAGCCTACCATTTAAGTTGCATATTTCATAATAATCAACTACCTAGAAAGAACTGATTAGCTGGCATATATTAAGGTGCTCCATGATTAAATTTTCCATAGGTATTTAATATTTTCTGCTCGGATATATTTGACAATACTAATTAAATCAGTTACCTCTGACAGAGATGCATCAACCTTGGAAGAAATTTTAAGGTCTAGCCAGGGCTGGTAGTTTTCAAGTACCAAGGCAGGCCTAAAGGAAATCATACAATTAAATTGCTTGAAATCTAAAAGGTAATTAGAGGGATGAAAAAATAAAAAATGTTTAACTTACCTATGTCGTTTACATTTCACTTTACCACAAACAGCACAGCTACGACCTTGAGGAAATAATTCTTGAAGTCCTAATTGCTAGAAAAAGGGAAATGGGGGGGAGATTTGTCTTTAGGTATCTATACTAAAGAGAATCAACTTTTCAAAAGCTTGTTAATCAATGTATTAATTCAGAGGACTTTTTTTTATTATTATTGTCTGCTTTAACAGATACCATTCTTTGTAATAAATACTGCTTACTAAACTGTCGACTAATGGAGGAAAAATACCTGATGAAATGTTTTACAAAACCTAAGTCAAATTTCCAAAATTAAAATTAAAGTCAATTGTTATGTTCACTTATAAAAAAATTCCAATCTATATTTGAAAATGATACTCTACTGCAAAAGTATAAGAAAAAAACTATTTTCTATTTCTCCAAAACCTTGAATTCAATGACAGAGAATATGTGATAACTAGTAAGGTTCCTGACCAAATAAGGGGCACCACTTTCAGCTATTTTCCCTCTGAGTAGAAATACTAACAAACCAACAAACGAGGGACAGTATCAACTTGAAGAATTATCAAGTATAATTCCAGATATCCCACTAAATCCTGATCTACACACTAGGGACTTTGCCTGCCAGAGACAGATTCCATACACTACCACCTTTATCAAATTTCACAAATATAAATTATTTTGGTTAAGCCAACTGCCGAATTATTTCTCTGTTTGTTTCTATAGAACAAATAAACATTTAGGAAATTAACAGGGTTAGATAATTTAACCCAGATTTCCCTAATTGTGTCTGTCCCTCAGAATCACCTGGAAAGCTTTTAACAAGTACTGATTACAAGGCCCTAACCCAGAACTATTCAATCAAAATCTGGTGACAGGTCCCAGGAAATTTGTAGTTTTACAGATTTCCCAGGTGATTCTACTGTACAGACAACTTTGGGAACCTCCATTTTAATTTACTGTCCTCATAGTTAATACATAGAGGACACTCTAAAATTGTGGATCCCAACTTTCTAAGAATTTTGTATTTTCTTTTTATAGCTCCTCCTAGGAGAAGTGTATACCTTAAAAATATACACACGTGGGGCCGGCCCGGTGGCGCAAGCGCTTAAGTGCGTGCAACCCGCTGCGGCGGCCCGGGGTTCGCCAGTTCAGATCCTGGGCACGAACCGACGCACCACTTGTCAAGCCATGCTGTGGTGGCATCCCATATAAAGCGGAGGAAGATGGGCACGGAGGTTAGCCCAGGGCCAGTCTTCCTCAGCAAAAAAAGAGGAGGATTGGCAGAAGTTAGCACAGGGCTGATCTTCCTCACAAAAAAAAAATATATACATATATATACACACACACATAAATTTCACTTCAAAAATGTTCTGTCTTCCATTATTAAATAATAGCAGATGGATTTTTAAAAAATCACTGTTTTAACATGCTTTCAATAATAAAAACATAATGAATTCTAATAATTTATTATATGTGTCTATAATAAATAAACATAATATTGATTATTAAAACATAATAATAAAACAGCATAGAGTCATACATATTGACTCTTTTAAAAATAAGAACACAAATTTTACCTTGGGTTTATATTTTATTGTGAAGAATATATTTGGTAAGAGAGAATCGGGTCCTAATGAGCAGTAGAATGTGACAGCTCCAGCAACAAATGACCAGAAGATCATTAAAACATGAAGATACCTTAGAAATAAAGAAAAATAATTATTAGAACCAAAAAACGTATAACACTAAGTTGTCCCTTCATTGATTTAACAAGTATTTATTACCATATCAGACTGAAGCAATTTCTCCAATCATGATTTTCTGTAATGTATTTATTAACTAAAGAAATCACAGAATGTATGCTATCAAATGTACATTTCATTTCAAGTAAAAGGGAGTATAAATTTTCAATATTTCATAATTTGGAACCTAAGTTGCTATGTTTAACTACCCTATACTACATTCTTCCAGAATACCTTCTAATGATACTGTAGTATTCATACCCCACCAAAATTCTGATTATTTTTCATTAAACCAAAAAAAAATTTTTACTGAGTGCCTATTTTGTGCTACACAGTACGAGGTGAGGGGGATACAGTAGGGAGCAGCACTGCCATGGTCTCTATTTACATGGAAAATACAGTCTGGCAGGTGTAACAGGTAAGTAAATGAGGCCAATACAGTATTATGACAGAGAAAGTACGCATGATATGAGAACACCTTAAGCAGAATACACAACCCAAACTTGAAAGGACAGAAAAGCTTTTTTCACAGAAAGCAATGTCTGTGCAAAAACAAAACATGGGTAGGAGAAAACCAACAGAAGAGGATACAGTAGAGGAATGAGGGACTCTGGAAGAGGCAGGGGAATTCAAACTTGAGAGAACTACCTGGGCTAAGATCTGAGCATAGTTCCAAGGAAGAAGTGGCCTTGAGATGAATCTAAAAAAACAAGCAGAAGCCAGATGATGTAGTGTCATACAAAGTCATGTTAAGGTGTCTCACAGGCAGTCGTCATATTGCACAGTTCTGATATGCACAAATTTCAGTTGCCATAATTTTGTGAAACACCGGCCCTCTAACAGCACAGTTCAAATTCCAATTACCACATGATGTTTATAAACTGTGAGTAAATGCATAAAGTACAAACTTTGGTGCTGGCTCTTCAGTCCACAAATCACTATGCAGTGAGAAGAGAAAGAAACCAGTCCACAGAGAGAAGGAGAAAAACGGAGGTGAAGAAAGTATTGGCAGTGTTTTAAATCCTGGTTCTACATGCCTCTGAGGCCCAGCTACACTCCAATTCTTTCTGCATTTACATAACCTTCCAATGATTCCCCTCTTTGCCAAACCTAGTGTGAGGTGAGTTTCTGTTATCCACCATCAAGAGTCTTGACTAACATCCAGGAGACAATGGAGTTTAAGAAGGATGGTAGTATCATTAGATTGTATAATCAGAAGACCACTCTGGCTGCAACATGGAGAACGGCTGAAACCGGAAACACACAGGCTAATCAGAAAGCTGCTGAAGTACTCTAGAAGAGTCAAGGGATGGCCTGTACTGGGGAAGACACTTAGAGATAAAAACCTGATTGTTTTGAGACATCTAGGAGGAAGAATTAAGAGGACTAAGTAATTGATTAAATGTGAGCAGAAGGGAGAGGTAAAAAATCAGTTCTCTTTGGTTACCAGAGGAAAGGGAGTTGGGAGGTGGGCACAAGGGGTGAAGGGGTGCATTTATATGGTGACTGACAAATAATAATGTACAACTGGAAGCCCACAATGTTATAAACTATTATGACATCAATTAAAAAAGTGTAAAAAAAAAAAATCAGTTCTCTTTGGACATGCTAAATTTCAGGTATCTTAAGACATGTCAACCAGAAATGTTCTATAAGCAGCTAAATATTGGGTAGTTCAATCTCTGCAGAAAATACGGGCTAAGGACAAAGGTTTAAGAATTATCAGCATAAAGATACTGAAGTCATGGGAATAAAAGACATGACCCAGGGAGAAGCTGCAGAGTGAAAAAAGAAGAAGGCATAAGACGTTTAAGAAATAAGCAGAGCAAGAACAACCTATAAAGCAATCCAATAACTAGAAAAGGTGGGGAAAAAAACAACAGTCAAGTCATAAAGGCTGTCAAGGTAAAAAGAAGAAAACATTTCAACAGGTTTGAAGTAGTTAACATGATCAAATATTTGTAAAATAAAGAAAGAGGCAGGGCCGGCCCGTGGCTTGGCGGTTAAGTGCGTGCGCTCCGCTGCTGGCGGCCGGGGTTCGGATCCTGGGATCGCACCGACGCACCGCTTCTCCGGCCATGCTGAGGCCGCGTCCCACGTACAGTGACTGGAAGGATGTGCAGCTATGACAGACAACTATCTACTGGGGCGTTGGGGGAAAAATAAATAAATAAAATCTTTAAAAAAAAAAAGAAAGAGGCAGATTGAGAAGCATCCATTAGTTTTAGCAACAAAAGAGGCACTGATAAACCAGGCAAAAGCAATTTTAGTAGAATGACAAAGGACTACAGTGGATTGAAGAATGAGATGGAAGTTAGCAAGTGGAATTGGTAAATGTGGATAATTCCCTCTTTAAAGAAAAGAAGCCTTGGGGTCGGCCCAGTGGCGTAGTGGTTAAGTGCGCACGCTCCGCTGCTGGCGGCCCGGGTTCGGATCCCGGGCGCACACCGACACACCACTTGTCAGGCCATGCTGTGGCGGCGTCTCATATAAAGTGGAGGAAGATGGGCACAGACGTTAGCCCAAGGCCAGTCTTCCTCAGCAAAAAAAAAGGAGGATTGGCATGGATGTTAGCTCAGGGCTGATCTTCCTCAAAAAATAAATAAATAAATAAATAAAATAAAAGAAAGAAGCCTGCAGAGAACAATGAGGAAAAGAGTTTAGTAAAACCTGATCACATTTAAATGTTGATAGGAGAGGAGATAAATGAGTAAATAATGTCCTAGAGAAGATAGGAGTAGTTGGGATTCAGAGCCTAAACGGAAGAAATAGTTATAAAAAGAAGAGATATCTCTTCCCTAATACCAGAGAGAAAGAGTAGATGGATGAGAATGCAGCTAAACCTGTAGATTCATTAACAAAAATTAAAAGCAATATAATGGCTTTTAAGTGTAACAGGAGATGCTGAAAGTAAAGGGCAAAGGTGGCATGATGTGAAGTTCTAGAAGATTGGGGAAGTTCTGAAGCAGCTGCGGCGGAAAAGTAAGGAGAAGGGTATCATAGGGAAATGCTGGGCAGTACTGAGGCTGAAGAGCTAAACTTACAGGTGTGGGAGTTTCTCTCCAGCATTCAGTAACCAGGACATAAATATTAAAGAAGCAAGCAGCATCACTGATCCAAGATTTGGATTTTGTCAGGAGAGTGGAATAGAAGGGAAGCGAGTTAAGGATACTGATGACAACAGAGTAGTTGAAGTGATGGACCATGGAATCTAAGCTAGACTGACTCTAAACTGCACAGGAAAGTAAGTGACAACAGAAGAGGGACCACGGATAGAAAGAAAGCAGAGGAGTCAGGAGGCTGAGAAGTCAAGAAGCAGGTACAGTGTGACTGACTGAATGAGAGAAGCAGACACTGGTCAGCAAGTGGGATACCTGATTTTTAAGATTTCAACGGTAGACCTCTGTCTGGTGACAACAAGGGCCACCATATGGTGATCCAACTAGGAGATTGAGGAGGAGTCACCTTGACAAAGACTACAATGTTTGATAGGTTACTCACACAAGCACTGAAGTCACCTAGAATGATGGCAGGATTTCAAGGGGAGATAAAGTCTATAAGCCAGAAGCCAAAGTCTTCTATAAATGAGTACAAATGACCCGGAGACTGTTATCAGTGAGAAAACGGACCAATGGCATATGTTTCAAAGGAGTAAGAGACTTCTGCTTCCTTGACAGAATAACTGGTACCAGACTTGCCTTCCCACCATAAACAACTATAAAACTGGACAAAACCAGCAGCTGTTCCCAGGCAGTGGACAACAGGCAGTACAGAATTCTAATCTTTAAGAGAAGGGAGAACACAAGTGAGTTCCCATCCCAATTCTCTGACTGGGGACAATTTCCCAAGTGCAGCACACAATAGAAAGGGTTACAGAAGGTACTGTGAAGACCTGGGAGTTCAGAACTGGGGAATACCGCACCAAGTAGTAACAAGAGGTGAAGATGGATTAGAGGTATGTACCTATTACAGACAGTGACCAAGTAAGTACAAAAGCTGTGAGACAAAGGCTGAGCCACCCAGCCAGATGAAACTGCCTCATCTCCAGGCTCTCAGGGCAAATCTATACTTGAGAGACATCCACTGCATACCTATTATTAAATGCTCTCACTCAGCACTTAAAACATAAACATGGTTACCACCTACTGAAAAAACTATGGCTTAATGTTGCCTGCAGAATGAAATGCAAACCCCTTAAACTGTTATGGTCCCTTTCAATCCGGCCCCAATTCACCTTTCTACCCTTATCTCTTCCCCTTCCTTTATACAAAGCTTCATTCTAACCAAAATAGCACACTTGACACCAAGCTTTAAAAAAACCCTTATGTCTAGAAACTAACTCGGGTTATAGAAGTATTCACAGAGGAAATTATGAAATTTATGTCCACAGCTGCTTACCAAAAATCCTTTTCAGCCAGACAGATACGACACAGAACTCAGAATTTTTAGGATTCTAGAATAGTTATATAGTACATATTTCATATATAGCTTAACTCCCCCAATGAGGTCTGATGCAGTACTCCATAATCAGATATTAATATTTCTGCAGCAAAACATATGAACAATAAGAAATAAGTAAGTCAGAAATAAATACTGTAATAGTCTCACGTCTGTTCAGGTCACATTTCATCATCAAACGTAAGTGGTGCTAAACTTAGGGAAAAAGTTACTTCTTCAGAGCTTTTCGATTTCAGAATTACAGATTAGGAATTGCAGACCTGTACTTAGACTGAAGGACAATAAACACTACATGCAATATGTGTGGGCTGTAACTAAGGCAAGCAATAACTAAGGCATTATTTAAGAAGGAAATCTATAGCTTTAAATGCATTAACCCTGTGGTTCTCAACCAAGGGTGATTTTGCCCCTCAGGGGACATCTGGCAGTATATGGAGGCATTTTTGATTGTCACAACTGTGGGGAAGGGGAACAGGGGAGTACACTACTGACATCAAG